GGGGAATATTTTATTTTTTACAAAGTGCCATTTTGGTTTAGTCGAATCATTTAGTATAATTTTTTTAAAATTTTTTATTTTATTTTATTATTTTTGTGTGCATGTACCGTCAAATCAGATCTGACTGGTACCGGAGGAGACTGTCCCTCCTTCCCCGGCAGAGCATCTGGTGGATTTGAACCATGTGCCTCTGGGATTATAGTTGCAGCTCCTTGCCACTAGGCCACCAGAGCTCCCCTCATTCAGTATAATTTTTTAAAAATTTCTGTTTATTTCCTTTCTATTTATTGTTTGAATTTAATTTTACTTCACTAATGTTTACTCTTTTTCTTTCTAATTCTAAATAAGTGGTTAAGTCATAATTTTTTTTCCAAGTATGTTAGCCACATCTCACAAAACTTCATTTGCAGTTTTTAAGTTCCATATGGGCTCAAACACATCTATTCATACTGAGAAAGGGTAAGTAAATTATTCACAGTAATTGTAGGTATGTCAATTTTTCTTGAAAATTGTTAAATGTTAATGTATTTTGAGGCTATGTGAAGAAAAAAAAGCTATTATATATTCCTGGTGGACTAGTAACCTTCTTGATCTCTACTCAAGTACCTCAACACTGACATTTTTTTTAATTTTAACTTCTTTGTAATTATCCTATACACATAAAGATGTGGCTTTTTGCTATAATATCTGGCCTATGTAATCGTCAAGATTTTCTCAACTATGCCTTTTCTGAATGACAATTTTGTTGTTCAGCATGCAAGTTTTGGGTTTTTTTCTCAGTATTTTGAAGACATGATTATATTCTCCTTTGGCTTTTTTTTTGCCGCCCCCCCCGCTTGTTTTTGATTATTTTGATGATCATGCTTTGTAGACAATTTCTCCTTTCTTTTCTTTTTGCTATCAATATGGCTGTGATATCCACTGTAGTAGGTACTAATTCTTTTTCCCTACTTAGATGTCTGACTCTATGTAATAACCATAATACCTTAGGAGTCATTCTGTGCATTTTTGAAAATGTTCCTGTGTCTCCCCTTTCTACCAGTGGTACATTCTGCATAAATGGCTGCTATGTATTTTTAAGTAATCATAATTTTTACTTGTAGAAGTTCAATTTTACTACATTCAAAGTGTACCTGGCCTCTCCCCAGACCTTTACCTTTTTTATTCCTTCTTGTAATTATTTAAGGCAGGTTTTGAAGTTCAAAGGCTGAAGGGAGCTTTAACATTCTTTTCAGCCTCTAACTCCCACCTGAGTCCACGTTCAGAAAGACAAACTTTTATGTCATCATCTGTTAAAGTGAAGATTTAAAAAAAACACCCTACTGTTTCATAGACAGCATCTCTATTTGAGGGTGCCAGTTTTATGTGTCAGAGGCTCACAAAGATCATATGACTCTCAGGTGAGTTTTTCCCCTGTCTCAGAGTAGGTATTAAACCGAGATCCTGGGTATCTCTACCCCTAGAGGTCCTAGGCTACTGAGGTCAGTAAGGGCCAATCGTATCATCAGTTTTGGTTACCTCTTTGATTTACAGTTATCTATCTTCATTTCTACTTGGACCAAGAGTGTTAATTGAGGTTCCAAGCCAAGATAAGCTGTGGTTGATAGTTTTACTCTCTTCTCCATCCATCATGACACTGCCTACCAGTCCAGTGGTAAGAATGTTTCTTTTCTTGACACTGAAATGCAATCCATACCAAAGACTATATTCCTTGATCCTCTGCAACAAGCACTTTAAGTCGTCCTCATTTCCAGCAAGCAAGGCTGTGATACCTGCATAACGCAGACTCAGCCATTGTCTTTGCAATTACTTTCTATGCATCTGGACAATGATTAAGGATGAGAGGAAAACAACTGATGCCTTTGAGCTGTGGTGCTGGGGAAGAGCAATGAAAGGTCAAGAGAACAAACAGCTTTGCCTTGGAGAGGGTGCAGCCAAAGTGCGCTTTGGAGTTAAGAATGATGAGCCTTTGCCTCACACACTCTGGAAATGTCGCTAGGAGGTGCGATTCCTTGGAAAAGGACATGATGTTGGGAAGGGTGGAGGGTCAGTGAAGGAGAGGAAGACCCGCAATCAGGTGGACTGAAAAGGTGACTGCTGCAATGGGCTCTTTCGTGTCAAGTGTGAGGATGGCACAGAACAGGGCTCACCCTTCACCAAAGAAGACATTCAGATGGCCAACAAACACATGAAGAAATGTTCAAAATCCCTAGCTCTAAGAGAGATGCAATCAAAACAACTATGAGATATCATCTCACCCCAGCAACAATAGCAAAATTCAAGAGCAGCAAACAACAAATGCTAGCGAGGCTGTGGAGAAACTTGAAGCTTATTCACTGGTGGTGGGAAAGAAAATTGGTGCAACCACTATGGAAGGAGGTATGGCACTTTCTCAAAAAGTTGGATATAGAAATACCATTTGACCTAGCGATTCCATTACTGGGAATATAACCTAAAGAATTCAGAACCGCCACCCAAACAAATACATGTACTCCTATGCTTATTGCTGCATTCTTCACAATAGCAAAGAGATGGAAGTAGTCCAAGTGCCCACCAACAAACAAATGGGTAGAGAAGCTGTGGTATATTCACACAATGAAATAATATGCAATAATAATTATAAAAATAATATGAAAAAATATGCAGCGCTGAAAAACAAGGAACTCACAAAATATTATATAAAATGGGTGACCCTGGAAGACATTATGATGAGTAAAATATCTCGGTCACATAATGACACTGTTATAAACATGGTGGTTGACATGGGCGTTGGGGAGAAACCCAGAGAAGAGGGGATAAATAATGTACACTGCACTGAAATAAATGAGAGAAAGAACTGCTTAAAAGGAGTATACGATTAGGTATTATTTGTTTGACAACAGTCCAGAATAAGAGCTGCATAGCAAAGTGGACTGGGGCAGGGCGGGAAGGAAACTGTGCAACAATTAATGAATGGGAATCTAAGTTCTCTATAAACTTTCATTATAATCTCAATTAAAAGGAAAAGAAGAACAGGGTTCAGATCTTTTGTTCACAGGGTCACTATGAATCATACTCAACTCAACGGCAGCTAACAATAAAACAACAACAACAATCTTCATTTCTAATCTGTAAGAACTAAAATAGCAAAGTTATTTGTTTATAATTTATTGAATGTCTCCAGGAGTTTACATGTCTAGTTGCTAAGGCCATTGGTGGCTTGTATCCCACCGGAATTGCCACAGAAGAAAAGCCTGGTAATACATTTCTGAAAAAGTAAGTCAATGAAAACCTTAGGGAGCAAAAAACCCCCAAACCTCTCCAACACAAATAATATAATGATGAAGTCAGAGTAACCAGAGATTAAGATCTATCTGTCGGAGTAACTGAAATTCATTCTTCCCTGCACTATTTTCTAGTAAAGTTGGACACAATTATCAGTGAACACGGTAAAAACCCAACACTAAGACTCAACATAATTGTGTTTACTTTTATAGATGTTAGCTGACTCTGTGACTTACGGCAAAACAGTCTAACCTACTGTGCCCTATTTTACCTCCTAATTAATTAGCTGGACTTCATTAAGAATGTGGCATTAGAATTGGAGAAGACTCATCAACAGCCTATGTTATGCAGATGACACAACCTTGCTTGCTGACAGTTATGAAGATTTAAAATGCTTGCTGCAGGAAATCAAAGACCACAGCCTTCAATTTGGATTACATCTCAGTATCAAGAAAACAAAATTCCTCACCACTGAGATGACAGGATGACACAGACAGAGAAAAGACTGAAATTGTCAACAAATTCATCTTAACCCAAATTCACAGTCAACACTCTTGGTACCTGCAGTTAAGAAACAGACAAGAAGCACTGGGAAAATCTACAAGACCTCTCCAAGGAGCAAAAAGCAAGGATGTCAATTTAAATACTATGGTGCACCTGACTTAAATCATGATCTCTTCATTACTTTCTGATAGTTGGACAATGAATAAGGATGACAGAAAAACTGATGCCTTTGAATTGTGGTACGGGAGAAGAGTAATCACTATCCCACGCATTGTCAAAAGAATAAACAAATGTCTTGGAAAAAGTGCAATCAGGATTCTTCTCAGAGGCAAGGATGGTGAAATCTCATCTCACCTATTCTTGGGTATACTGTTAGGAAGGGCCAGTCATTGGGAAAAGTATCAGGCTGGGGAAAAGAGAGGAAGACCTTGAACAAAATAGAATGACTCAGTGCCTGTAACAATGGGCTCCAGTGTATCAGCGATGATGGGGTGACACAGGACAGGGCAGGGTTCTAATCCATTGTTCACAGGGCTGCTATGAGTTGCAGTTATCTTGAAGGCAAAGATAAAGTTTCATCTCTCATAATTTGGGCATGTTGCTAAGAGAGGCTATTCCCTGGAGAGGGATATGACGCTTGGAAAAGTGGCGGGACAACAAAGGAGGAAAGACCTTCAACCAGATGGACCCAGTGACTGCGGCCATGGGCTTGAGGATGCTGGAGACTGTGAGGATAGCACTGGACAGGAGACGGTTTAGATCTGTTTCTCATAGAGTCGCTATGAGTTGTACTCGACTCAATGGGTCCTGACAAATCAGGAGTTTCTTTAAAGAAAAGTCCACTGCAGGCAAGTCAGTTCTGACTCTCGGTGACCCTCCGTGATTGCTATGGGTTTCTGAGGCTATAAATCTTTACAGAAGATTGCTCTTCTTACTCCCACAGATCAGCTGGGTGATTTGAACTGCTGACCTTTAGGTAGGCAGCCTGACATGTTTCACACTATATCACTAGACTTAAAGCTTAATACAGATGTGTGATAGTCCTGAAATTTGCGTATTATATTGCATAGCAAAAATGCAGGAACTTTTGTATGTGCAAAATGAATAAATAAAGTCTTAGTTGATTATAAGTTTGTACAGTCAATAAATATTTGCATTAAAACAAAACAACACATTATACAAATTGTATCTTATTATATTCTTCTCTGAAATTACTCAATATATAAAAATACCTTAGCTTTTGGAGTAGCTCTAATTGTCCATATGCAATCAACCGCTTGGCCAGGTTTTGTTTTTTCCTCCTGTTCGACCTGACTAGAACGTACTATTCCATCAGCTCCTGAGAGCTCAAACTGGCAATCTAGAAAGAATAAACGTATGATGTTCAAAGGAAAACAGAACTAATAAAAATGCCACAAGAAAAAATGAGGTAATATACTAAACCTGGGATGGGATTTAAAATACCTCCTAGGTAAGTAAAGTCTGGATCTGCAATAGAATAAAAGGGGGGAAAAAATCAGTGGCAATGACAATTTTAGAGTTACTCCAAGGTGTAGTGTTCTAGATTATGTCTAGTGTTCCATATGAGAGCAAAGCAAGAGAAGGCAGCATTCATGGACATAAAATACACACTGGTTATTTATGAGTCTATTAAGGCCACTCATTTGTCTGACAAATCTTATCTATAATAATAATTATGTTAATATTTTTATGCTGTCATTAATAATTTATTCACGCTACTTGAAAACTCTGGTGGCTTAGTGGTAAGGAGTTGCACCGCCAATCCAAAGGCACATAGTTTGAATTCACCAACCGCTCCAGTGAAGAAAGAAAGATGGGCAATCTCTTCAGGTGTGAATTACAGCCTCTGAAAATCCACTGGAGGGTCAGCTATGAATTGGTTCTGTCTCAGTGTTACAGAACAACAACAACAACAACTTGCAAACTCACGCCAACTCATTATCAATAGAAGTTCCAAGTGTTCTACCCCAGTCAGCTGTCTTTTGTTTTTTAAAAATGTCACTGAAATGAAACACAACTTAGTGATTTTATAGGGTATTTTCTCCCAGAAAGCAGTTCATTGATGTCTGAAAGCCAACAGTTTATATCAAAATAACTCACTTGATGAAACTAATCAGGAATTTGATTGCTAACTCAATCGGTTAACTGAAGTAATTGATATTCTGGTATCATAAAGATAAAACCTTATGCTTTCAAAGAAAGATCTTTGAAAATAAATTTAGTCACTTGAAAGAGGAAAAAAAAACCCCTCCAGACATGCAAAACATTCTTATTTGTTTTTTTTAAATATTAAAAAGTGTAGCCAGAGAACTTTTATATGCTTATGTGAGTAAAGTCCAGAGCATTATGTACTATTCCATTTTATAGATAAAGAAACTGTGTCAGAGAAAAGATTAAGTGATTCTTTTCTTAGATCAGACAGTAGCAAAGGCAAATTCAGAATCCTGTTCTCTAGGTAACCTATGCTTTGGAACTGTTCCCACTCTACTATATTGTCTTTGCAATGTGGGTCAGGGTCCCAGCACTTAATCATGACAATAAAAAAACTCATATGTCAAAATAAATATGCCATGAATAAATAGTCTAAAGTATTGGTTATACATTTTTTTAAATTTTTTTTTTTATTTAGTGTGCATGTACCGTCAAATCAGATCTGACTGGTACAGGAGGATATTGCTCCTCCTTCTC